TGTAAACACGTCTTAACTAGCTAACACAGACACGTCTTAACCACCTGTAAACACGTCTTAACTAGCTAACCTATACACGTCTTCACCAGCTGTAAACACGTCTTAACTAGCTAACACAGACACGTCTTCACCAGCTGTAAACACGTCTTAACTAGCTAACACAGACACGTCTTAACCAGCTGTAAACACGTCTTAACTAGCTAACACAGACACGTCTTAACCACCTGTAAACACGTCTTAACTAGCTAACCTAAACACGTCTTCACCAGCTGTAAACACGTCTTAACTAGCTAACCTAGACACGTCTTCACCACCTGTAAACACGTCTTAACTAGCTAACCTAGACACGTCTTCACCACCTGTAAACACGTCTTAACTAGCTAACCTAGACACGTCTTCACCACCTGTAAACACATCTTCTCCAGCTAACACAGACACGTCTTCACCAGCTGTAAACACGTCTTAACTAGCTAACACAGACACGTCTTAACCAGCTGTAAACACGTCTTAACTAGCTAACCTAGACACGTCTTCACCACCTGTAAACACATCTTCTCCAGCTAACACAGACACGTCTTCACCAGCTGTAAACACGTCTTAACTAGCTAACACAGACACGTCTTAACCAGCTGTAAACACGTCTTAACTAGCTAACCTAGACACGTCTTCACCACCTGTAAACACATCTTCTCCAGCTAACACAGACACGTCTTCACCAGCTGTAAACACGTCTTAACCAGCTGAACTAACACTGTAAAAAAATCGAGATTGCCTGAAGCCGGCCTTAGTTATACTTCACCCCCGGCACCCGAACTACAGACTATTGTCTGGGGTTCAACTGAAAAAGTCTGTAATCTGCTGATACTGCAGACTAAAGTCTGTAATCTGCTGATACTGCAGACTAAAGTCTGTAATCTGCTGAAATTACAGAAGGGCGCCACGAGGAAACCTGGCCGTTGTCACAAAGATTTATTTGATCCAGTGTGTAAATCACAGAGATTACCGGCAGTTTTCAAAACAAGCGCCGGCTTTTGCCGGTTCTGTCACCATTGGAGGTTGCGGTGACCCCAGCAAGCCGGCAGAGGTTGGGGTCGGTGGTGTCAGGGTGCTAGAACCCCTGGCCCAGACAGCGCTATTGATACGAGTGGAGGATGAAAGCTCGATCTTCTGTCGATAGTAGGGACATCAGGCCGGGGCATGGCAGTCCCACTGAGGGGGGGGGGGCGTCTTGACGTCACTACGGCGTCACTTCAAATATCGGCGTCTCATGTTGGCGTCATTTCTATCGATGGCGTTTCAAAAGCCGGCGCCTCTTCAGATACTATCTCGATATTATACTCCCACTTTTTTTTTTAGATATCTTGATACTTTACACTTATCAATTCAGATATCTTTATACTATACACCAACCTATTTAGATATCTTTATACTATACACCAACCTATTTAGATATCTTGATACTAAACACCAACCTATTTAGATATCTTGATACTATACACCAACCTATTTAGATATCTTGATACTATACACCAACCTATTTAGATATCTTGATACTATACACCAACCTATTTAGATATCTTGATACTACACACCAACCTATTCAGATATCTTGATACTATACACCAACCTATTTAGATATCTTGATACTACACACCAACCTATTCAGATATCTTGATACTATACACCAACCTATTTAGATATCTTGATACTATACACCAACCTATTTAGATATCTTGATGCTACATAACCTCCTTATTTTTAAGCCCGTTTTGATTTGCAAACTCTCACTTTGTTTTTTTAAAAAAAAAACAACAAATACACAGATACCCGAGTTTCTTTAACGGGGGAAGGGGGGGGGGTAAGAACATCACTCCCCCCCCCCCCCCCCTAACGAAATAGAAGTTTTTTAGAAAATACATAGTTTTACCAGTTTCCGCATCCCCCCCCCCCCGGAAATTAAGGCCCGCCGACCCGAAAATTTCAAGTGCCCCCAACCCTGAGAAAACGTCTGGAAGAATCACATATAGATACATACACACACGTACGCACATGCGCCCCTGATATCGAAAACTGGCGTTGACCCCCATTCACCTTCCACTATACAACTCACATTACTGTTGATGTCCAATTAAAATTTCACGTCTGCCACTATACAACTCACACTGTTGTCCAGTTAAAATTTCACGTCTGCCTCTATACAACTCACACCACTGATGTCCAGTTAAAATTTCACGTCTGCCACTATACAACTCACACCTCTGTTGATGTCCAGTTAAAATTTCACGTCTGCCTCTATACAACTCACACCACTGATGTCCAATTAAAATTTCACGTCTGCCACTATACAACTCACACCACTGTTGATGTCCAGTTAAAATTTCACGTCTGCCTCTATACAACTCACACTGTTGTCCAGTTAAAATTTCACGTCTGCCTCTATATAACTCACACCTCTGTTGATGTCCAGTTAAAATTTCACGTCTGCCACTATACAACTCACAACACTGTTGATGTCCAGTTAAAATTTCACGTCTGCCTCTATACAACTCACACCACTGTTGATGTCCAGTTAAAATTTCACGTCTGCCTCTATACAACTCACACCACTGTTGTTGTCCAGTTAAAATTTCACGTCTGCCACTATACAATTATTTCTATTTTTCCTTCACGCCCTGCCCAGGGAATAGTCTCTGGTTCCAAAATTAAATTCGGCTTAAAATAGTTGGTTTGACTCCGGTTGTTGGTTTTACCCTGGCCGTCTGCACCTTTCTATTTTTGGCTTTTCCCGGTGAATTTCGAGAAGATAACAAGGCATTTAAATCGTGGAAACTGCTCGTAGTTTTTTTTTTTAAGTTTATTTTTAGCCGCAACTCCGCTAATTTGAAACCGGAGGTAATGATTTTTTCTTGGCTTGACCTATGACCTATTGGGTTCAACATTACAAACCGAGTGAGTCAATTCTGTCAGGAGTTGCTCGACGTGAACGCCGTGAGGAAATCTTCCTGTCATGTTATGTTTAGATGACATTCTTGTTGTCATGTTCTGTGTATCTGACATTCTTCCTGTCATTTTTAGATGGCACTTATCCTGACATGTTATGTTTAGATGACATTCATCCTGACATGTTCTGTTTAGCTGACATTCTTCCTGTCATTTTTAGATGACATTATATCTCTACAAACCGATGCAGTTTTGTTGTTTAAAAATCGTTTGTTAAGGACCGGTTTGATTTAAAATTAGATACTAGAAATACTTTTGTTATTGATTGTATCTAATATATAAAGCTCAATTCTGTATGTAAAAAGAAGTTTGTTTGTTTGTCGTTGACATACTTCTATGGATTTAAGTGTTAGACTATTATCGTGCTCATAGTCTAAATTTATGAGTTAAAAAATTACTATTGAAAGTGTTGGGAAATAATTTTCATTTTTCAAACTGATAGTAATAATTGTCGGCATGTTCATTAAACACAATTTTAAAAAAATAACAAAAATTCTAATTATGTCTGAAAATTATTTATATTTAGTCCTCTAGCACTTACTTCCCTTTGATAAATTAGGAAAACACAATTACTTCCCTTTATAAAACATTGCATGAGTGGAAAAGAATTTACTTTTTATTACTTTGTTTTGGTGTTGGGAAAAAAATAATTACATATTTAGCGGGGATTGAACAAGTGCAAATGTTGTAGGTATTTTACGAATAAGCTTGGAGTATTATAATTGTTCATTTGGTTTGGTTTGGCACCTACGTTCGTTTTAGTGAGTGCAAAAGACTATGAATAAGTTGGGGTACTATAGTCGATTATTAAGCTGAAACAGGCGATTCTGCCCCGGGCTAGACTGTGAGCACTTTGTGTTTATGTTCGCGTTAGTGTTTTCTTTGTGTTTAGGTTGGGTTTGCGTTAGTGGTTGCGTTTTGATTTGGTTCGTTTTTGTTCTTTCTTTTTTCGTTTTCGTTTGTGTTTTTTTCTTTGGGTTTGTGTTTGTATTTGTGTTTGTGTTTGTGGTTGGTTTTGCGTTTGGATTTGGTTTGTTTTCGTTTGCTTTTTCGTTTGTGTTTTTTTCTTTGGGTTTGTGTTTGTGGTTGGTTTTGCGTTTGGATTTGGTTTGTTTTCGTTTGCTTTTTCGTTTGTTTTTTTCTTTGTGTTCGTATTGGTGTTTGTGGTTGTGGTTGGGTTTGTTATTAGGTTTTTGTTTTCGTTTGCTTTTTTGTTTGTTTTTTCTTTGTGTTTGTATCGGCGTTTGTGATTGTGGTTGGGTTTGTTGTTAGGTTTTTGTTTTCGTTTGTATTTGTAATTGTGTTAGCGTTATGTTTGCGTTTTGTTGTTTTGGTTGGTTGTGGTTTGGGTGGGCAATGCCGGGTTTATGATGATTACTAAACACACAGGTAACGGTCTTTAACAGAAAGGTTTTTCACAGAAGCCAGAGCAGGGCCTGGCCGGGACGGCTAGTTTAAAAAAAAAATGAAAATAAACAACATTGCTTGTACTTTGGTTGGTTATTTGTGTCGCGTTAAGTAGATCAGATCTTGTAGGGGCGACTACTAATAGATTTAGATCTTGTAGGGGCGACAACTAATAGCTTTAGATCTTGTAGGGGCGACAACTAATAGCTTTAGATCTTGTAGGGGCGACAACTAAAGGCCTTACATCCAAGAGGGCCTTAGTCTGCTCACAGCGCCTGACGTGGTCGGGTGGTAGCGGGCGTGAGTTCAAACCTGAGGTGCGTGAGTTTGAATCTCGCCTCAATTTGAACGTCCATAGTTGTTGGTTAAACTTGACGACGTTTCGTACAGTTCACATACCCATCCTCACTGGCACACGTTTGATTGCTGACTTCCCCCTGTCATCTCATGTACTAATGCAAGCCACCCCCCCCTCACCAAATTCACCTTGTGTACTAATGCAAGCCCCCCTCCCTACCAAATTCACCTGATGTACTAATGCAAGCCCTTCCCCCACCAAATTCACCTGATGTAAAACTCCCCTCCCTCCCCAGGAGCTACATGAACCCCCACAAGGCCGAGATACTCGCAGACTTCCCCCACGTGACCAGCTCTAGTCTTCCAAAACTTGACCCCAGACAGCGGCCATTTGTGATTGACCCCAGACATCCCCCCTGGCACCAGGCGCCCACCCCACGTCCTGGCCAGTTTGACGGTAAGTTTCATCCATTTTGTAATCAGCCATAAGTTTCATCCATTTTGTAATCAGCAATAATTTTCATCCGTTTTGTAATCAGCCAAAAGTTTCATCCATTTTGTAATCAGCCAAAAGTTTCATCCATTTTGTAATCAGCCATAAGTTTCATCCATTTTGTAATCAGCCATAAGTTTCATCCATTTTGTAATCAGCAATAATTTTCATCCGTTTTGTAATCAGCCATAAGTTAAGTCCATTTTGTAATCAGCCAAAAGTTTCATCCATTTTGTAATCAGCCATAAGTTTCATCCATTTTGTAATCAGCCATAAATTTCATCCATTTTATAATCAGCACCATTTTGACAGTCCTAGAATGTTGCCCTCAGTATACAGTCAAACTCTTAGCATTGTTTGAGTTATACAAATTTTCTATACACAACCTAGGTGGGTTGTTGGCGTGATTTGGTGGGTTGTTGACGTGACTAGGTGGGTTGTTGACTAGGTGGGTTGTTGACTAGGTGGGCTGTTGACTAGGTTGGTTGTTGACGTGACTAGGTGGGTTGTTGACTTAACTAGGTGGGTTGTTGACTAGTTGGGTTGTTGACTAGTTGGGTTGTTGACTAGTTGGGTTGTTGACTAGGTGGGTTGTTGACTAGGTGGGTTGTTGACTAGGTGGGTTGTTGACTAGGTGGGTTGTTGACTAGGTGGGTTGTTGACTAGGTGGGTTGTTGACTAGGTGGGTTGTTGACTAGGTGAGTTGTTGACTTGACTAGGTGGGTTGTTGACTTGACTAGGTGGGTTGTTGACTTGACTAGGTGGGTTGTTGACTAGGTGGGTTGTTGACTTGACTAGGTGGGTTGTTGACTAGGTGGGTTGTTGACTAGGTGGGTTGTTGACTAGGTGGGTTGTTGACAACCTAGGTTTGCCGTTGACTGACGTGTTGATGTGATAAAATAGCCTGACATTTCACGTGAGGTGGCTATAATCAAGCGATCGATCTTACGGTAGAAAGTGGTTCGATTTCTTACACGCAAAGCAACACGTCCTACCGTGGTTAGGGTTAGCAAGGGTATGTAACTCTAACCTGAAGTCTAAGCCAGAATTATTAACCCTGTTTAAAATTAGGAAACTTTAAACTTGAATACATTGAACCAGATGACCTCCCTTGATCTAAGTATAAGTTGCTAGGGTGTTGCTAGACTGATGTGTTGCCCCCCCCCCTTTTTGTGTGGCTTACATATAGGATGACAGTCTGGTGGTACATTTTTGTAGCTTAAATGTGTGGTGACACCACCGAGAGTTTACAAGTGTGGTGACGTTTGGTGGTGACACCATTTTTAACCTGCATGTGTGTTGACACTTATATAACACATTTGTATGGTAGAACAGCCCCATTTCCCATTTTAAAAATCACTGCAGTTTATCCTCTATAAAAAAATGTTAATCGTTTCTTCAAGAGTTTGACTTTTTCATTTCTCAGTTTTTATTACACCAGTACACAGTTGATAGCGATTTTATGTGAACTTTGTTGAAGATTATAGTTGCCTCCCTGTAAAGTACCTTGACCTCCTTTCTTCACCTTTCAAGTTTGTTTTTGTCACATAAATCAAGTTTTGAATCAAGCATTTGTCACACGAATCATGTTTTTGTCACTCCGAGGTTCGTCAATAGGTTGACACAAAAACTACCGTGTTACGACTAAATAAGGAACATACAATAACAACAATCAATGAGAGCGGCGCAGACGTCTAATCATTGCTAAAAATAGATTTTAAAGGCAAGATGGGATTGTTCTATTTTGTAAAGTTATCGCAGCCGTAGCTGTTTTGTTAAAGTTATCGCAGCCGTAGCTGTTTTGTTAAAGTTATCGCAGCCGTAGCTGTTTTGTTAAAGTTATCGCAGCCGTAGCTGTTTTGTTAAAGTGATCGCAGCCGTAGCTGTTTTGTTAAAGTGATCGCAGCCGTAGCTGTTTTGTTAAAGTGATCGCAGCCGTAGCTGTTTTGTTAAAGTTATCGCAGCCGTAGCTGTTTTGTTAAAGTGATCGCAGCCGTAGCTGTTTTGTTAAAGTTATCGCAGCCGTAGCTGTTTTGTTAAAGTTATCGCAGCCGTAGCTGTTTTGTTAAAGTTATCGCAGCCGTAGCTGTTTTGTTAAAGTTATCGCAGCCGTAGCTGTTTTGTTAAAGTTATCGCAGCCGTAGCTGTTTTGTTAAAGTTATCGCAGCCGTAGCTGTTTTGTTAAAGTTATCGCAGCCGTAGCTGTTTTGTTAAAGTGATCGCAGCCGTAGCTGTTTTGTTAAAGTGATCGCAGCCGTAGCTGTTTTGTTAAAGTGATCGCAGCCGTAGCTGTTTTGTTAAAGTGATCGCAGCCGTAGCTGTTTTGTTAAAGTTATCGCAGCCGTAGCTGTTTTGTTAAAGTGATCGCAGCCGTAGCTGTTTTGTTAAAGTTATCGCAGCCGTAGCTGTTTTGTTAAAGTGATCGCAGCCGTAGCTGTTTTGTTAAAGTTATCGCAGCCGTAGCTGTTTTGTTAAAGTTATCGCAGCCGTAGCTGTTTTGTTAAAGTGATCGCAGCCGTAGCTGTTTTGTTAAAGTGATCGCAGCCGTAGCTGTTTTGTTAAAGTGATCGCAGCCGTAGCTGTTTTGTTAAAGTTATCGCAGCCGTAGCTGTTTTGTTAAAGTTATCGCAGCCGTAGCTGTTTTGTTAAAGTTATCGCAGCCGTAGCTGTTTTGTTAAAGTTATCGCAGCCGTAGCTGTTTTGTTAAAGTGATCGCAGCCGTAGCTGTTTTGTTAAAGTTATCGCAGCCGTAGCTGTTTTGTTAAAGTGATCGCAGCCGTAGCTGTTTTGTTAAAGTTATCGCAGCCGTAGCTGTTTTGTTAAAGTGATCGCAGCCGTAGCTGTTTTGTTAAAGTTATCGCAGCCGTAGCTGTTTTGTTAAAGTTATCGCAGCCGTAGCTGTTTTGTTAAAGTGATCGCAGCCGTAGCTGTTTTGTTAAAGTGATCGCAGCCGTAGCTGTTTTGTTAAAGTGATCGCAGCCGTAGCTGTTTTGTTAAAGTTATCGCAGCCGTAGCTGTTTTGTTAAAGTGATCGCAGCCGTAGCTGTTTTGTTAAAGTTATCGCAGCCGTAGCTGTTTTGTTAAAGTGATCGCAGCCGTAGCTGTTTTGTTAAAGTTATCGCAGCCGTAGCTGTTTTGTTAAAGTTATCGCAGCCGTAGCTGTTTTGTTAAAGTTATCGCAGCCGTAGCTGTTTTGTTAAAGTTATCGCAGCCGTAGCTGTTTTGTTAAAGTTATCGCAGCCGTAGCTGTTTTGTTAAAGTTATCGCAGCCGTAGCTGTTTTGTTAAAGTGATCGCAGCCGTAGCTGTTTTGTTAAAGTTATCGCAGCCGTAGCTGTTTTGTTAAAGTTATCGCAGCCGTAGCTGTTTTGTTAAAGTTATCGCAGCCGTAGCTGTTTTGTTAAAGTTATCGCAGCCGTAGCTGTTTTGTTAAAGTGATCGCAGCCGTAGCTGTTTTGTTAAAGTTATCGCAGCCGTAGCTGTTTTGTTAAAGTGATCGCAGCCGTAGCTGTTTTGTTAAAGTTATCGCAGCCGTAGCTGTTTTGTTAAAGTTATCGCAGCCGTAGCTGTTTTGTTAAAGTGATCGCAGCCGTAGCTGTTTTGTTAAAGTGATCGCAGCCGTAGCTGTTTTGTTAAAGTTATCGCAGCCGTAGCTGTTTTGTTAAAGTGATCGCAGCCGTAGCTGTTTTGTTAAAGTTATCGCAGCCGTAGCTGTTTTGTTAAAGTGATCGCAGCCGTAGCTGTTTTGTTAAAGTTATCGCAGCCGTAGCTGTTTTGTTAAAGTGATCGCAGCCGTAGCTGTTTTGTTAAAGTTATCGCAGCCGTAGCTGTTTTGTTAAAGTGATCGCAGCCGTAGCTGTTTTGTTAAAGTGATCGCAGCCGTAGCTGTTTTGTTAAAGTGATCGCAGCCGTAGCTGTTTTGTTAAAGTGATCGCAGCCGTAGCTGTTTTGTTAAAGTTATCGCAGCCGTAGCTGTTTTGTTAAAGTTATCACAGCCGTAGCCGTTTTATTTGAAGAAAGGTGAACCCAATGGTCGTATCACTGGAAATCTCGGGGCGCCAAATAGCACCCTGCTGGGGCGTCAGAAGATGCGCCTGCTTCGTTTTAGTGAACGACCATTGTAACACATCCTATCTATATTCTATCGCACGATTTAAAATGAACGAATGCACCTAAGCGCTCATGGGGAAGCCCGGGGCACCAAATCGCACCCTGCCGGGGCGCCGCCCCTATGACATTGAAATTCCCCCCCCCCCCCCCCCCCCACACCGAAATCTCCACTGGAGTATTCTCATCAACTCCTCAAAGTTTCATGGCGATCGGATTAAAAGTGTAGTAATGAATAAAGGACAAACAAACCCACACACCCACATACATACTTTAATTTTTATTTTAATTATAGAATAAATGAAGCTAAGATTCGATACTCATATTGCATGAACAATTTATGTTGTTTTAAAATTTATAAAAACAACAACAACAAAAAAAACCACTACATCAACAACCCCGGTAAAGTTGATGACGTCACCAGCTGGGCAGCCCCAGTACGTCTGTGACGTAGGTGAGTCTCTGCAGAACAAGTGAACTACGGTGAGAGCCGAGTTATCTAACCTGCTTGCTATTGCACGTGTTGGAATAAGGCTATCACTCATCAGATGAGGACACTCCACTCATCAGATGGGGACACTTCACTCATCAGATGAGAACACTCCACTCATCACATGAAGACACTCCACTCATCAGATGAGGACACTCCACTCATCAGATGAGGACACTCCACTCATCAGATGAGGACACTCCACTCATCAGATGAGGACACTCCACTTCAGCCAGCACTTGTGCTTAGTGTAATACAGAGATGGTCTGATTGACCTCTGTTATACAGACACATTCAATATAGACAGACACAGTCAATATAGACACCCAGTCGATATAGACACTCACAGTCAATATAGACACATCACA